ATTTAATAGATTCTTTTTTATTATTATTAATTATTTGTTTAATAGATTTTTGTTTTGTTTTTAACAAAGGTACGTTAAATATTTACGACAAATTCAATGCATTAAAAATAATTTAGTTATGCCTCGACTTCTGCTCGAGTCAGCGAATATCGAGAGAGCTTCTTCATTTTATCATTTCATCATTTGATCATTTTGTTCATTTATGTTTTACCTTACGTTCCTGCGGGCTCTGTGAAGGGAACCCATACCGCTTAGCTACTACAGAATACAACTAGAGACACACGTTCAGCTAAAAACATTCTTAGTGTTTACCATTTGCGATTACGTTACTTTAGTTAATATATATCTATATATAGACTTTGACTTATTTGCCTAATGCTGCGTTTCCAAATTACTTTCTTGATGTTTCTCTTTCTTTTTTTTTTTTTTTTTTGTTTATTTGTGCAGTGAATAAAACCGAAATTAAAATCCATTCTGATCATCTCATTTGTGTGTGTTTCGCTTGATTCAAATCAAAAATTGTTAAATCAAATTGGCGATTCGTTCGAACTTGTTCATTTGGCTCGTTGGCTTATAAACTATGGACGTAACCTCGGGATGGGAAAAGTGCGAAAAGTGCATTGCCATTGTTAAATGTTGCAAATGTTTTCCAATTTATCTTCTCTCTTTCAACTTTTTGTTTTTATTTCTTCTATTTAGTTTGGCTAAATGTTTACACAATTTGAGGCGCGCAGCATTCAATTTGAATTACAAACAATACAAAAATGTTTAAGTGCTGAGAATTTTCTCTGTTTTCTTTTTTTGCAATTTCATTTTCGTGCGTTTTTAGCCTTTGCCAGCAAATAATTTTAAACAATTCGTTTGCCTTTTGGCTCAGCTTCTAAATTTTGGTTCGCTCTAGTGTGCTTAAATTTCATGTGGTTTGAATTTGTTTACTTTTTATTTATTTATTATTTTTTTGTTTGTTTTGTTTTTCATACTTTTGTTTTAGGTTTTGCGTACTTTTTTCATAAATCACAGAAAAAGTTTTTTCATTAAATTGTTTTTCATACTTTATTTTAATATTCAAGTTCACTTTTATTTCTACTACAAAATAGAATTTTGTCTGCGTTTTTAAACGCTGCTAAAACGCGCGCGTTTTTGCCTGTGTTGATAAACGCGCAGCGTACATTTAAAATAGTTTTGGTTTTCTTTTGTTAGAATATCTTATAATTTCATTCAAATTTTACTCTAAACTCGATTAGTTTATGTTCTTGATATAAGTTTTGTTGTTGCTTTCATAAAAGTGTGTTTGGCCGCTGGGCCATAGATGGCGCCACCACGTGTTTATTTCTGTTTCTTGTTCTTTCATTGATTTAAGTAAATAATTTGTTAACATATTTTGCTCTACGTTTATTTTAGTTACTTTCATTTCTACACACGCCAATATTTATTTATTTATTTATTTATATATTTTTCTTTTTGATTCATTTACGTTTCAAAACCATTTGAAATATCTTTGATTTCTTTAATTTGCACATTAAGTTAGTTCTTCTCTATATAGAAACTTTTCTATCCTCCACCTCTCTCTCTCTCTCTCGTCCTCTCATCTTTTGTGTTTGTTTTGCGTAACGTTTCGTAATAGTATTTAATTTTTTTTATTTGCTTGGAATTGGATTGATTGGAGTTCGTTTAACTACGTTGCTATGTAAAATACTTGGTTAGGTTTATTTTTGTAAGTTAGTTGTTATTTAGTTTTAGTTTGTTGACTATTTGTATTTAGAATTTACGTGTTGCTGTTGCTTGCTAAAAACTTTTACTCTTACTACATTTCAAATCTAACTTTTAATTTGAGTTTAACTATTCGATTCGATTCGTTTCGATTTGCTTTCAAAATTGTTTACACATCTAAATCTCTCGCCTGATGCTGTCTAAGCCATTCAGTGAACTACTTCAACAGCTTTTGCGACTATTTCGTTTTACTATTTTATTATTGACTAGGATTTCGTTTGATTTCATATGCAACATTTTTTTTTTTCATTTGTTAGGGACAGCAGCAAAAAGAAAACTGAAAAGCAAAAACTGAAAAACTGAAAAATCAAATGAAAATCAAATAAAATATATCAAATTATGCGGTATAAATTTTTAAAGTTTATTTGTTGTTGTTGTTTTTAAATGTTTTTTTGCTTTATACATAAATTCATTTATTATTTGTATTTTAATTAATAATAATTAAAAATGTATCACTTAAACAGCGCGGCAAAGTTTTCTTCTTCTTCTTCTTTTATAATGTGAAAATAGAGTTAAAAATAATAATAATCATAATTTTAATAGTAATTATATATAGTATATAAAGTGAAACAAACAAGAGCTAATTATCGGCTGGCCGAACCTTGAATACTCTCACAGACAGAATATATATATATACTCTATATAGTTGTTCGCAGGATGATTTGGAAGATGTGTAAAATATATA